ATTTCATTTCATTTCATTTCATTTCATTCGCGCACGCCTGCTGCGTGTCCAATCTTTTTTTTTATTTTTATTATATTTTTTTCCTACATGCTTCAGGGGTGACGGGGTGGCGTTCATTTTGTTTTAATGATCTTTTTTTAATTTTTTTTTTGTCGACATCGCTATACAAAACGTTTGAAACGTTTCATTTTGTTTACAACACGTGCGAATATTATACAAAATTATTCTCAAATGAAGTAATCGCCATTCACGTTTTATCGTTCGCGAATATGTTTATTTTATTATCACTCGAAATTCAGAAAACATTTTTCTTTTTTTTAACTAACAATGACACTCTCTCTCTCTCTCTCTCTCTCTCTCTTTCTATCTATCTCTATCTCTATCTCTGTCTCCCTCATCCCTTTTTTCTAATTTTTTTTTAATTTTATTTATTATGGAGAACTATCGATCATTTTTGTACAGAATTAATTTCGAAGTATTTTATTATTTTTGCATTTATTATCCTTTTATCTTTTTTTTTTGTTTTTGTTTGTTCCTCGAGGAAAGTATGTTGAATAATTTGTAAAAAATACGTTACTTTCATTTTAATTCCGTATCTCTAATGTAATTCTAATTTTAGAAAGTATTATTTCATTCTTTATTTACCAGGTTATACAACCAGTAGGTATTATCTTTATTCAAGTTATCTTTTTCTTTACTTTACTTTACTTTACTTTACTTTACTTTACTTTACTTTATCTTTATTATAATTATTTTCTCATATGAGTATACTTTCCATTTTATATTTTTTTACATCCCAGTCATAAGGTTAGTGTTTTCGAAGAAATATTAACACACACGTTACTTTTGTCACATTATCTCTATAAGATTACATTTATTAATTATCATTTATCTTAACATATAAATCATATATTATTTCATTTTTGGTGAACGTAAAGTTTCTTCCTATTTTAAATATCTATAAAGATTATTTCCTTCTGTCCTTCCCCTTCACCAACCCCCTTTTCTGCATCTATTTCTTTTTCTTACTCGGTCTTACTTGTCTTTAGATAGAAAAAAGAAAATTATGAAGGAAAAAAGATGAAAACTTGTGGAAATAAATAAGTTGAAATGAGATGGAATAGGTAAGGGGGAAAAATAGAGGAAAAAAGGAATGGGAAAGTGACACATACGACTCGATATCTCAGCTTAAAGCCTTTATGCGAATTCAGTGACGATAGATGGAAAAGGATCACGTCCTAGATTTCGTTTAAAATCCCCCTGGGGGTACGCTCCGAGGGTTATATCGTCACACCACGCTTCCTATTTTAGTTTCTTCTTCTTCTTTCTTCCGATATATGACGTATCTCTTTATTATTATCTTATATCAATTATTTTTATCTGGGAAGATAAAGATATAAATTCATTAGAAAATCATCAAATTAAAAACAATATTTTTACCAATCATTTAAATATATTTCAATCGAATATTTTTCTAATCTTCATTTATTTAATTCTAATAATATTCTAACGTGCAAAAAATATGAAATAAAAAAAAAATTATTAGAATGAAAAGTGGATAGGTTAAATGAATAGATTTATAGATTATTTGCGTGTAGTGTTAAAGATATAACGTTATATTAGCGTTAATATATATATATATATATATAATATATAAAAAGAGAGAAAGAAAGTATGAAAGAAAAAGAAAAATAAGTGAGAGAGAAAAAATTGTCTTCGCACGTATTTCCAACTCATATACGGAGAAGAATGCCAACTTATTGTTAGATCTACTCGCGGTGCATTTCAACGTACCGTGGAATTCCACGCAATTTCTTGGAAAATAAAGGCTAGAGAGAATGCATGGGGGTGGTTGGGTGTTGACGGGGGCGGGGACGGGGGTTATGAGTTGGTTTCGAGCTAGAAATGTGCGCACGTGTCGAGATATCGACGCTCCTTCCCCAACAGAGATGAGATGCACTTATGTGAATGCATATATTGTAGGGGTAGAAAAGGGGGGAGGGGGTATAAAATGCACTCATTCTCACGAACTACGTCAAGTCTGACGCTATTTCTACTACTTCTGACTACTACTACAACTACTATTACTAATACTAGTAATATTCGCGCGTTGCAGTTGTATGCAACTGCATTCGTACAAAGTATAAAAATATTTTCACGAAGTAATTCTCGTAGCAAGCTTAACTTTTCTACATTCGTACAACGAGCCTGGAAATTTGTCTGTGTTTCGTCTATCAACGTTAACCCCCTCGGGGTTATAATAGGGAACAACACACACGCACAAAAAAAAAAAGGGTAAAAATTAGAAAAAGTGGAAGACGAATTATTGCAGAGGGAATTTTTTTTTTCCTTTCATCGTTAATCCTACTCCAGTGGTGGTGGTGGTGGTGGTGGTGGTGGTATTCCTTTTTTTCTTCTTTCTTTTCTTTTTTTTTTGTTTATTTTATTTTTACGACTTTATGTATGAAAATTTACACGTACAATACGTTCATTATGTAATTTCGTTCGTTCGTTCATTGTAAAAATAATACGTGCCTAAATTTTGACAATTAAAATATAAATTAACTTATACGATCACAGATTAAACATAATATACAATTACGTTCATTCATAAATACATTCATTTATTTCCTATAAAAAAAGAGTATTATACATTAATATTTAATTAATTAAAAAAATATAATTTTACACGCGCATAGATGCCAATCGTAATCCTCTCTCAGAGTTCTCATTCATAAATAATATTTATATATTTCATTCATAAAGAAATAAGAGAAAAAAACCAAACGAATACTTATATATATATATACATCAAAATATCCCATAAATAATCAATAATATTCCATTAGAAAAATAAAAAAAAGAAAACAAGAAAAAAGGTATAATCGAAAAGGAGCTATAAAATGAAGTATAGTAATTCACGATATTACAAGAGTTACTACTACTACTCGATTCGAAAGTATCGAAGAATTCGCGGTCGTTTCTCGATATATCGATGATTGTTCGAAATTGTGTAATCGACGCCCATTCGATATGCTTCTCGAAAATAGAGAGAGAGTGAGAAAGGGGGTTAGTGAGTGGGAGGGGGGAGTTGAGGGGGTTGTGTTGGAAATACTGGCAAGCATTGTTATGAACGCACGTATATTCGTCGCTTGGAAAAATAGCAGGAAATATAATCGAAGGTAGCGTTTATCTCGAAGCAGTATCGAGTTCGAGAGGATTCTATCCGACAATTTCCATCGTCCATCGCGTTTCGTGTTAAAACATCGACACACGCATGCATGCATGCATGCATACACGTATAAATATACACACCTATCATATCTGTTTCTTTTTTCTCTCTAACTCTTTTTCTCATTTCTCCTACATCAATAGATTTCTACTCGACCATATAGTGAACTCGTTACGCGCCATTCGAAGCCTATTTTTCTTTTTTTTTTTTTTTTTTCTTTTCCACATTTATTCGTACTTTTTATACGTACCCCATTCTCATTTTCTTCTTATTCTTTGTGTATATTTCTTTTTTTTCTTTCTTTCTTTTCTTTTTTTCTGGTTTCTCTTCTTTTTTTTTTTTTTATTATCGTTTTGTTTATCTTGTTCTCGTTTTCAAATATACGCGCTCGTATGTATGTATGTATGTATGTATGTAAGTACGTATGCAGGAGTATTTGTAAACTACTTACGAACTAAAACACGGTTATTCGAATTTCCCGAGTTTATTAATTATAATCTCGTATATATATTGTAACATTTATATTTGTATTTAATTACAAATTATATCGTAATTTAATATTTTTTGTGAAATTAGTATTTGAATAGATTTACGTGGTATAATTAATTCCTTTTCAATGTTACTGCATTTCTATATTTAATCATATATTTATTTTATTACGTTACTCCATTCAATTCGTATAAAAGGGAAAGTGTAATTTTATTTATATATATATATAAAGAAAAAAAAGAAAAAACTCATTAATTTAGGAGATATTTTAATCTTGATATTGCTGAAAAAAATCACGTATACACGTTTATAAAAATTTAATAAGAATTGTAATTATCTTTTTTATATGCCCCTTATATAAAATATGCAATTTATTCGTACACACACACACACACACACAGTATAACAGTTTGCGTATTTTTATAAACCCCTTAAAACTATGCAATTTATTCGTATAAGCGTGTAAAAAGAGTAGTCTATACTTAGGAAATAAATGGGTAACATTAAAGCGACGATGTAGAAAGGGTTGCAGGTCTCCAGGTGCTTCTGTAAAACAATTTATGCAAATAATTAAACAACTACGATGGTTTTTTTATATTTTTTCCGACTTGTTTCATACAACCATTGATGTCATACACATTTATACTACAAATTTTATTTATTAACTATTTTTCAAATAAATAAATCACACGCTAATTATAAGATTGAGATAAAATTTAGATGAAAATATATTGATCTCAATAATAAAGAAAGAAGAAGAAAAATAGTAAAAAGAGGATAGGAAAAAAATCACGATCAAGCTGCATTTGCGAATTGCAAACATCGGCTAGCGAATCGAGTAGATTTTTCGTTAAAAATATTTGCATATTGATGAAATAGGAAGAGAAAAAGAGACAGAGGGAGTGAGAAAGAAAGAAAAAGAGAGAATGAGAGAGTGAGAGATACGATGAAAGCAGAAGTACCACGTGAAATGGAGAATCCGTAAGAGAAGAAAAAAAAAGAGATAAAACAAGAGAAAAAGAGGGAGAGAGAGAGAGAGAGATGCAGTCATCGATTTGATGAAAAATTGAAAGAAAAAAAAGAAGAAGAAAAAGTATAAGGGAAAATGAGATTAAACGTATAAAAAGAAAAAAAAAAAAGGTAAAAATCTAATGACACAGATCCATGCAATTTGCCATCATTTCCATGAGGTATTATAAAACTCGTGGCTGACAATGTTTTTTTTGGTCTTTTTTTTATCTTTTTCCCTGAAGTAACCCATTCGTTGTTTTTGTTGCAGGTGGCAAATACCATATGTTACCAACCGGTGAACTTCTGGTTTTCTCAGTGACTTCCGCCGATGCTCATCTGAGTTACCGATGTCGTACCGTGCATCACGTGACCGGTGACACCGTAGAAAGTTCGTCTTATGCGCGACTGGTGGTTACCGGTAAGTTTTCATCCAATTGCATATCACACTTTTCGTATAAGTGTTAGTTGTAATTTCATTGTATTAGTTATAAGTAGAGATAGGTAGCCAGCCCACCTTCCAAAGTAGTCCTCAACCAACCACCCACGTACGGTGGATTGCCTAACCAAAAGGGCTGGGGCTACACCACCCCTCTCTCTTTTCGCTTAAAGGAACTTTCGAGGAGGTGCATGCATATTTAATGCATTGTAAATGTGCTAGTAAAGCAAAATGTCACTACTCGTTTAACGACAAAAACGAACCCTTATAAATTCACACGAAACTTTCTCACCCCTTATATTCTTATATCTCGTATGATTATTTATTTCATATTTATTATTCATATTTTTTTTTTTTTTGTCGAAAGTAAATTGTTACACGAGATAATTGAACGCGACCGATTAAAACTAATTTCGCACGTTAATTCGTAATATTTCTCGAGAATAACCAACTCTCGTTTCGATGTACGTACATTCACGCGTACCACATAGACACACACACACACACGTGCGTATCTATTTAAACGTTCACATTTATATAACGATCTTCTCTCAAACATTTCTATACCTTTTACCATAGTAAATCATAATGCATTGTTATGCGTATTCTCTCTCCCTTTACCTTTTCTACAACCCACCCACCTACCCTCTCACTCTCTCTCTCTCTCTCTCGTTTTCTCTTCCAATATCCCTCTCGCAATCCACGCAACTCACCTTCTTCATGAATAAATCATGAGCGGTCCGAAATGCTAATGGCCGAAACGTCCGCGCTCTGCTTCGTCAGCCCTAGTTCAGCCCCAACGAGAAATACTAGAACTCGTAAACAATATACGTGATACGCGTATCCTCGAAAATATGCTTTCTCCCTTTCCCCCCATCTCATTCTATCTTTCTCCCTTTCTATGGCTTACGTGCATATACCAGGAAACAGAAACGAAAGGTTCGCAACATCGCGTAACGTACCATCCGGTTTCTGTTTGTTCACTTTGTATAATACTTTGCGATCGGAATCTCGTTCGTTGAACATTTAACGTTTCATCATCAAACAGCAGAAAGTATTTTCTTTGACAAAATATATTATTATATGATATTCAACGATTCTTATTGTTAGATATTATATTTTGATATGCAAACGGTATCGATTCCTTGTTATAGAAATATTTGATATTTTACTCGTTGGTCAAACAAAATTTTTATTTGTCATCTATTTTTATTTTATATATACAAGAAATGATAGATAGAAAGGGAGAGAAGGATTGTTTCACACGTTGGAATGTTTATTATAATCAAAAAAAAAAGTAATACAACAGTATTATAATGAATTTATTCAAATTGATGACTGTGGTCTGATAAATTTAACATTAAATAAATAAACTAAAAATAATAGAAGCACACAAACGAAATGTCATAATTATAAAAATTGTTATAAATTGATAGACAAATATTTATTTGGAAATATTTGCTATCGTTGTCAGAGAAATAGTTAATCAAGAATCTCATACTGATTTAGAAACACGTGAATAGGAAGTACCGTTAGTTTGAGATAATTGTCTGAGAGGAGCCGTCAAGAATGTTCCTAATCAAGCTGCGTTTGACGATCTTATCGAGGAAGATACTGGGATGCAGACTCCGGGTGGTGTTCGTCGTCGAAACACTTCGCTTCTCTACCTCCCATAGATGCTGATTGATAAGGCATGAAATGGGTCGAACGTGGATGAGTGTGTTTGGAACAATAGATGGCTAATGATGAAAGTGCAAGCCGAGGTAATAGTGGTAGAGTGTTGGTAGCACTGATGGTGCCGGTTGTGGTACTGGTGATGGTGGTGGTGTTGGTGATGGTGGTTGACGTTGTACGCCATTACTCTGAAACGCAACGAAGACGAAATACCAAACGCCAGATGAACATATTGTACAACGTTCGTGCATATCCGCCAAACTCCCATTCCTCTTTTCCGACCCAACCCCACCCACCCCCCGCCCCGCTTCACCCCATTTTCGCTCCCACTCTTACCCCCATAAACGGAACCAGAGAGTTTCTGCGTCAATTAATCATGGCATCCTTCTTCTCCTGCCGTTGGATACCCGTCCCGAACCCATAATTAATAGAAATAAAAGAACAATGACGTAGTTGTAAATTACGATAGTATTATTTACCCCCTGAGAAGGTATATTCCCTTTTTATTAAAAATCAACTCATCGAGGTATAATATTAATCACTCGTTTGATTTTATTACCTCGTCACTGTTAGCGAACTTCATCGTAATTCATTCAGTTTTATTCTATTCAACGTCGTAGTTCATTATATTATAATCCCATAGTTTTAATATATCAATTTTATTATATTAATATTTTATTCCAAATTCTTATCGTCTTTTTTTTTGTTTTTTTTTTTTCTTATGAATCCCTATAAACATGTGGACTTTATTCGTGCATAAGTTAAACTCAGGGGGATGCAATTAACTGTCATTAAATATTGATGGCACCGTTAGAAAAGATATTAAATATAGTTGCGTTTAAGTGAAATGTTGAATAAGAAATCTTTGATAGTAGGAGGGAGGGGATAAACGCAATCTGATAATATCCACTGTCTTCGTCTGTTTCTCCTTCTTTCCCCATTACCGTTCCTGCATTTTTCGCAACTTTTCAATTCTCTCTCTTTCTCTCTCTCTCTTCTTACTCTTTCTATCCCTTTCAACGAACGCGTCAGAGTTATAACACTTTAGTACGCCGCCATTTTAGGGAAGCACTGCCTTTTAGGCCTGATGTCCATTAAAGAGCTCGCCTGTTGTACGAACTGCAAACCGTTTAAAACTCGAATTCCTTAAGCCACGTACAGCACTAATGGACCATAGTACTCCTACTATTTCTCCTCCTTCTCCCCCCCCCGTCCCTATTTTTGCTCGAACTACTACTACATCCTCCCAATCCTTCTTCTCATCCTCCTCCTCCTCCTCCTCCTCCTCCTCCTCTTTCTCCTCTTCTTTTTCTTTTTCTTCGGCTTTTTTTTTCTCATCTTCCTAGAGTATCGTTTCACGTGTCCAACCCCTCCTAATCCTCGATTCTTCTATTTCAATGTTTAGAAATCATCCCGACGTAGTATTTCCCATCTAAACGGAACTCACAACCCCCCTCTTTAGATACAAAACTTAATACTCCCATTTAAACTCTCGAAATAGTGAAGGGCTTACTAGATTATAAGAGGACAGGGGGACAGGGGAAATAAGAGAACTTGTTTACCCATCGATTTAGCCGTAAAACGTTCCTCCTAAATGAAATCCTAGAATCTTTGAAAAACATACATTCACATGGGTGAACATATATACACACATAGATTTATAAATATGTATGATCATATATAATAATAATTATTTTCTTTTCCGAATTTGATCTAAAATTCGATAGAATATTTTTGTCTTATTTTCTTTACTTTACTTTACTTTACTTTACTTTACTTTTCTTTTCTAACGAAGATAAAACGTTTCGCCGAAAATAAGGGAAAAGGAAGTTGAAGAAACAAACGGAAGGAAGAGAAGAGAAGAGAAGAGAAGAGAAGAGAAGAGAAAGAAAAAAAAAAGAAATAAAATCAATCGTGATCTCGCTTGGATAACTCCTGTTAACAAAGTACCGAGTAACTGTCTCGTAGTAAAATAAAAAGTAGAAAAAAACTGTGTAGAAAGGGATAGAAAAGGATGGTAAAAGACTGAGAAAAGGGCACGGTATCTCGCCTTTCGTAGTTCCGACTTATGTTAGTCAAGGATGATCACAGTAGGAGAAAGACAGTCAGTCGGATTTCGCTTTAACCGAGCGTTAAATTAGTTCGACGGTCGAACGATTTCTCAGCTCGCACAACGAACGAACCATCTTCGATTCCTAACGTAGTAGACTACGACATAGACATAGACATAGACGACATAGACATAGACATAGACGACGACAACGTGGAGTCGTCTGCTTCCTCATCGATAACTTTTTGCTATCTAAAGTTCAACGACTCGACTTACTCTCTATCCATCTAGGTATATAGTTCCTAGCTCTTTTTGTCCTAGTTAAAAGGAACATCGTCTGTACGTTGTCGTTATAGATGAACGAATATGTTCTAAGTAATTTGATCAAATTTTAGCTCCAACGTAAAAAGGGTTGCAGATCTTCGGGGGCTGCGTAGACAAAATATATATATATATATATATATTATATATCACATTATTTATGAGAATAATAATTCATCGAAATATATGATACGATTGTTAATTAAATTATTGTTATTATTATTATTATTATTATTATTATTATTATTATTATTATTATTTTTGAATAGAATGATTTGTAATTAAATTATTCTTTTCGTTTCGTCCCCCCCTGAAGAATGGCAACCCTTAAGTCTTCCTTTACAATTGCACACAACAGATATAAGATATTCAATAACAAAGTTACTCGTATGATATTTTTCACTTATCTAGGCATCTGTTTTAGAATATATTCAGCTATTTGTTAGATTTGATATAACTTCAATTTAATTTTGTATTAATCTCTCGGAATAGTATAATACATAAGTTGGCAATTGAAATCAATTTTTTGTTCCGGCTAACTTTCAATTATATTTGAAAAATTTTAGTAGAAAAAATAGAAACAAAAGAAAAGAAAGAAACAGGAAATACATTCATCCCTCTTCATATATATATATATATATATATATATATATATATATATATATGGTATTTGTCTATCTCTTTCTCTTTGGCTCACGTTTATCGACTCCAGCGTAGCTTTTTGCTGGTCAAGCGAGAAGCGAGAGGTTTGGTCGAGAGTAAAAAGAGGCAAATAGACGAAGAAAAAGAAAGAAAGAAAGAAAGAAAGAGAGAGAAGGAAGGATAGAAGGTGCATGAGATCGCCATATTGGAGACTCGGCGAAAACGCAAAGTGCAATCCGCAGAGCTTGACTGTGGAGCCAGTTTGCGGAGCAACGTCGGCAAGAAACAATGCAGC